CAAGAGTTATGACATATAAAAGACTGTTCTCTGTTCAAGCAAAATCAATACTAAGATTTGCAATACTACTATTTTATACAGGAAAATAGCAGTGGAAAATCTAAGAGCTAGTTGCATGCCAGGTGGGCAATATCTGACATGCTCATAGAGGTGGGAATCAGGACAGAATTGCTCTGGGTTATATTTAGTGGTAGAAAAGAATTTCCTATCTCAGAAGCAGCTTCTCTGATCTGGTAAGCTTTTTTCACTATCTGCAAAATAGTTACTTTAAGCCCCGTTGATGTAGGCTTAAGGAAATCAACAGGTGAGAGTGTTGTAATTTTTTCTTTTACCCATGGGTTATTTAAAATTGCATTGATTATTATCCAAGCATTTGGAGATTTTCTGGTTTTCTTTTCATAATTAATTTCTGTTTTAATTTTATTGTGGTTGAAGAATATACTCTGAATAACCAAATACTTTGAATTTGGTTAAGACTTGCTGTAAAACCCAGGACATGATCAGTCTATTTAGGTAAATGTTTCATGGGCACTTCAAAATAATGTGTATTCTTCAGTGATTGCTTATACTGTTCTGTGTACATAAATTATGTCAAGTTAGTTAGTTTTCTTCAAACATCTATATTCTTATGATTCCTTTTTTGCTTGTTCTATCAGTGCCTCAAGAGATAAGCTGTAAAATGTATTTGTCTATTTCTCTTTTTAACTCTGCCAATTTTTACTTTATGTGTTTTGACTATGTTATTAGGTGAATAGAAATTAATGGTTGCTGTCCTTCTGATGAGTTGATCTTTTTATTATTGCGTCCCTCTTTATCTCCAGAAATGTTTCTTTACTTAAAGTCTACTTTGTCTGATATTAGTATAGCTATACTAGTTTCTTCTTGGGTGATGACTTCATGGCATATCTTCCATCTAACTATTTTCAGTTCTGTGTCATCTAATATTTCTTTTTTTTTTGTCTTTTGTCTTTTTCCGTGTCCGGCAACGGATCGCAACCCTCAG